AGGAAAGTAAGGTAACCAGCTGTTTTGACGTTCATACGTTCTATTGGCTTTCTACTGGCATTCTATTGGCATTCCATACATGTTCAAACCAGGTCTGATCTTCCATATATCCAACATGGGAAACATTTTTAGAATACGACTGAAATTCTTCCAAGAATAAATTAGGTTGAGTACATATCAGTTTGTGATTTCAAATATACAAATGATCAATATTCTATATTTCTGTAGTTCAACATTTTAATCAGCTCCTAAGGACTGCTTGTATGTAGGGATCATCTCAAAAGTTCAACTTGAATATAGTGAGTGAGTGTGATTGCGTGGAACTAATATAGATGTCGCAAGTGAAAATGAAACATCACAGAACATTCTCCATCTTCATGTGTCCCAAATTTCCAGTATTCTGGTCTGTGAGGTCTCCGATGAATCGTTCCCATCACATGACACAGGAAATGTTATTCGAGAAGAGACATCGCGACCCATTCTCGAATCACATTCTCGTTATTCAGCTGGTTATTGTGGATGCTTTGAATACTTATCTAGATTACCATGACATACAGAACTTAGTATATACAGAATAAGTATATACCCATGTATACTTATAAGGATAATGAGTTTGTTATTTAGCGTGACAGTTCGTCACGTGATCACTAAATGGAGTGTGAAATCCAGCACTATATTTCTCTTAATCTTACCCCTACTTAAAGGGAATAACAACTTTTGAGATGATCCCTGTTGTGTGACAATACCATGACATCTTTGTGCAACACAGATCATGACACTCATGACTTTAACTATACACAATATATACACCAACATCCACGCATGCATAACACCAGGATCGCACAAAACTTTTGCACTTAATATTCATAAAATAATATTCATAAAAATGCTGTGACTTTATTGCCCTAGATAAGTTTCCCATCCTATATAACAATACCTGATCACCTCGAGTCGGTTATCGTAAAAAACTGACAAAATATATCAGTTAATATTTGTCAAATCTATCATTACACTGTTTTAGCTCAGGCCCCACCAATCTAAATTACTCAAAATTTTGAAAAGATATAGTTTTCGTGTATATTTTGATCCTTTTCTAATCCAATAGGCAAAGATCTGTAAAACACAAAAATAAATTGATCTGACCTTACAGAAAAAAAAAAACAGCCACAAAACTCATCATCTTAAAGGATGTCTGCTGGTATGAATCTGTGAGTGAGTGAGTCTAATTTTATGCCACTTTTAGCAATATTCCAGCAATATCACGGCGGGGACACCAGAAATGGGCTTCACACATTGTACCCATGTGGTGAATCGAACCCGGGTCTTCGACACGATGAGCAAAAGCTTTAACCATTAGGATACCTCACCGCCCTATGAATCTGTTTTAAAACATGTCATGTATGTGGGTGTATCTTACAACAGGATAATTAAGTTTAATCCCCAATCTGAAGCAATGGAGTCAAGAACATCAGTTGTAAAGTCAAAGTCTTGTATGACGTCATCATTGGAATGTTGCTGCAAGTTAAACAAATTTGGAAAAATGTGAATGTGCATTTTTATAGACCTGTAAAACAATTACCCATTTACATTATAGGTTCTAGAGATGGTATTCACCCATTCATGATTAGAATATTCAAATGGAGAAATATTTCCACACATGTCTCTTCAAAAAAGGTGCATTTGAATATAAACAAAAGGTAAATACCATTAAAATAAAAAATACGTTTTTGAAAATTGCAAAAATGGAGAAATATTTCCGTACATCTCCTCAAAACAAGGTGCATTTGACCTGGATTGTTAACAAGTTCACAGACTGTAATTATGTGCTAACTAGTCCCTTTTTTTTCATGTGGACAGTTAGATAGTAACAGAGATTTCAGAAGTACTAATGCTTGAAAACATATACAGTACTGACTGACTGAATTTGGTTTTACGCCGCTTTAAGCAATATTCCAGCAACATCACGGCGGGGGACACCAGAAATGGGCTTCACACATTGTACCCATGTGGGGATTCGAACCCGGGTCTTCGGCGTGACGAGCCAACGCTTTAACCATTAGGCTACCCCACCGCCCTTGAAAACATATACATGTACTCTGAATACAAACCAGCACACATCCTCAACAAAAACAATTACAAATAAAGAAATAAACTAGAATAAATACTAAAGCTGAATGTAATACCATTATTGTACTCAAGGAAGATGTAACAAAAACAATAGAAAATATACAAACAGAAGAATCAAGTTGATACGCATCAGAAAAGGCAACAACATAGACTATACACATTAACACAACATAAAGCAGTATGACAATACTTACAGTCACAATCGAAACATTGGGCTTGCTTATACTGATATTAGTATCTCAGCCAAATATCCTGACATCTTTACAAGGCTGAACTTAGTACGTCAATGATTTGAATGGACTGACTGACTGACTGAGTTTGGTTTTACGCCACTTTTAGCAATATTCCAGCAACATCACGGCAGGGGACACCAGAAATGGGCTTCACACATTGTACCCATGTGGGGATTCGAACCCAGGTCTTTGGCGTGACGAGCCAACACTTTAACCACTAGGCTACCCCACGGCCCCAATTTGAATGGAAGAAGTCTAAATGACATATATTATGACATACCAAATTTCAGTCTCAATAAAGTCAGATTGTGGTACTTATTCCTGTTAAAGGAAGATCTGAGGTCATTGTATTACAGGTCCAATGAAATGCCTCATAAGATATCAACATCAGCCAATCAGAAAGCCGTGTTGTGACATGTACCATATACATTTCAAACTAGTGACTCCAATTACACACTATAATTTGCAAAACATCGATTCAAAATTTGAAACTGTACAAATTCTCACATCTCTCATAGATGGCGAAGATTTATGACAGAACTTCCCACTGACTTTGGAAAGTTTCATCAAACATTTGTCTCACTGAAGCAAGAGATAGACAATCATTTGGATGAAACCAGTTGTACAGCCCGAAACTGTCGCTTTGAATACCTCATGTCAACCCTCTCAAAGTTCTGGTGAGTGAGTGAGTTAGTTCCGTTTTTCGCTGCTTATAGCAATATTCCAGCAATATCACAGCCAAGGACACCAGAAATGGTCTTCAAATATTGTACCCATGTGGGGAATCGAACCCGGTCTTCGGTGTGATGAGTGAACACTTTAACAACTAGACTACCCCACTGCCAATCTCAAAGCTCCAGTGTCGAAACACACTGACACTTTCCCTATCTATTTACTGAATCTGATTGGTTGGATGACAGGTCTTTCTGACATGACCTATTAGAATGTTCTCTGAGCTTTGCTTAGAGGTAACAAAATATTGATCTGATCTTAATGAGACTGCACCCAGTTTCTGTGTGGAAATGCTATCCTTTGGCTTAAGCCTTAACCTTTGATGGAGGAGAAAACAGACACTGTCCAGTTAATATAACTACAAACTTGAGATACAAAGTAACCGTATAGTTAGGATTTATCTGACTTGATATAAATGGCAAAAAGGGCATGCAGATCTGAAAGAGAAGTCATTATACTGGCCTGATGATAACGGTAATTCCGAAACATTTAGCTAATTTCCTTTAAAACTTTCAAGATCAGCAATTATTGTAGTAAGGAAACGTGACTTCAATGACATTAGTTATGAAACAGTGAAACAAATATATACTGAGGGAAACAATTAAGGGAACACCACTTCATCGCAGTGTTTCTTTATTTATTCTCAGATTTTCACCCACAGTGCAATACAAAGCTTGTGAAGAAACTTGGAAAAGAATAAAGGAACACTTGTACTTTCATGTGTTCCCTTATTTGTTTCTGTCAGTATAGTTTTAACAACTCACTATGGTGACATCGTTAAGCGGTTTATGAAAATCAATCAATTCAAAAGATGAAACCACACATTAAATTTTCAGAAAGTAACACGGAAAGAGGAAGTTATAATGCACATTGATATATACACATTTTGACATTTCTCAAGTCACTAAGGCCACGATTAATTATTAGTTTTTCATGTCATGAGGTTTATTCATTTTTTTACTTTTTTAAAGTCAAACTGTTCAAACTGATTGTTTCAAGATACAAATCTGGTGTATATGTAAACCTTTTTAAATACTGTAAATTGTATTCTACAAACCATGACAAATCAATAATAAGATTTGAATCTGAAATTTTTAGCATACGATCGATATAATATATGAACAGGCCCATGAATATCCTATGACAACTTAAAATGGTCTAATACAGGTTATGCTCACTATCTGCAATTGTCAAAAACAACGTATGTTCATGCTTATTCAATAACACTGATAGCTCATAAATGCATATGCAGATCTGTATCTAAGATGACCCAAAAAATATCCCTCATGACCAGTATTTGCCATTTTCTTAATAATTAGGTCACAAAAAGTCTGCTGGATTATATAACACCTCCTTGAGCAGTATCTCAGTTATATCCTGGTATATAATGTTATATATCAGCTTCATGTGGGGTGGGGGACTCAAAGACTCTTCCACTTAGGAGGGAATCATGGGTACTGGCATGGTTCTGACAAACTTTGGATCAGAATCAAGGAACATTATCTTTAATCTAAACCCAGGCGAGACCTTAAATAGATTTGGATTTGGTGGTGTGGTTGTTTAACGCCACACTCGGCAATATTCCAGCTATATGTCGTCAGTCTGTAAATAATCAAGTCTGGACCAGACAATCCAGTGATCAACATCATGAGCATCGATCTACACAATTGGGATATGATTGACCATATATAGAAGAATATTTTAACAATATGGCTTAACCCAAATTATCAGAAAGTCAAATACAGAAATAATGTCAAAAAATTGTTTGCCAAATCAAAATCATCACCATCACCATTTCTGCATACAGCTGTCTCAAACGCAAGACTATGCCACAGAGGCATATGATGGGACAACCTAACATGGTAACATATTCACGCATCTATTTTTGTATAAAATGAAAAAAAAATCTAAAATGTCAAATTCCTTGTATTTCTTTGCCACCTGCTAACCAGTATTGGCTTTCAAAATTGCAAACGACAATATATAACGCTGGCCCTACTATCAGATCCTGATACAGGTAAGGGACACAACCCTGCACAGTAAATTGTGATGCTACAGAGAAAAGGACCAGCCATGCTTTATTACAGAGTGCATCATCAATCAATTCGTAATTGATCCCTAAAACAACCAGTACTGGGCTCAACTTTACTTGACTATCTCAAAAACAACACTAACTTCTTCAAGCATAATGCTTTTCCTTGAATACAGTAAGTTCATCTGAAACAGTCTTTTCCTTTGATTAAATACATAAAGGTCACAGTCGCACCATTTTGAATGTAGGTCTATTCTGAACTTGAGTTGAAAAATGCATTTTGATGCTTGTTGATTTTTGAGCAGAGGAATCCTTTACAAGATGGTGGCCATGAAGGGAGATGGCGCTAGTGACAAAAGATGGGCATTATGTCCAGACAATATAAATGATGGACTGGACAATCGAAGACATCATTGAGTGATATCAGTTTGTTCTTTATTACCCCGAACGCTCAAAGTCTAGTACTGACATCAGTTCTTCAAACAGCAGATACAACATCCTTTATAATGAGACAGTTACTATGGTTGCAATTGTCAACTTTTTGTAGAATTGGTAGAAGAGACAAATCCACATTAAAGTGTGAGATTACCATTATGCGATTATCAAATTTTCACCGAGTTTTGGAATATATGCTGCACAGCAATTTTACTTCCAACTGATAGTTCTAGCGAAATGATTCAAATATCAAAGCTCAAATTCCCAATAATCCCTTTTCAAATAATGGGAAACATTATTTTTCAAAATAAACAAACAAAAATTTACATTATATGTTTTAATGACAACTAAATCGTTCAGTTCTGAGCAAGAGTTACCAAAGTGAAACATGTTTGCAAAATAAACTGACCAAATACTGAATATTTTTCATTCCATTCCAAATACTCGAGAACTGCATGCTCTAGTTTCTATTTAACCAGACTTTTCAACCAATCGTCTTGCTTTCACAATAACCACATGACATATTGTGTTCATCATAAGATGGAAATTAACATAAATATTAATATTATTATTATTACTACAGCACGTTGGGAAGACAAAGAACAATGATCTTCTAAAACACAAATACAAAACACAAATTATTTTGTACACAGTTTCATAAGGCTAAAAAAGTACTTGTTTCTCAGGCATGGCTGACACAAGTGACATATTCTTATTTGGAAACATCTCATATAGACGAGAAGGATAAAATCACTTGATTGCATTAATATACAACAAATAATTCTATTTTTTAACAGATTTCTCACTTAAAAATCTAATGACAAAATCTCCACTTCCTTTGACAAACAAATCTGACAAACATCAGTGTACTTAGGCCTAATTGACAATATAAACACAAGGTACAGATTTCTGATACAAAGATCTTTTAGATGTCAATGCCTGAGAAACCAACTATTTTGATTTTTTTCAGCCTTCCACAAACATCATATAAGCCGGTATCACAGGTATATCGTAACTTTGTTGTGTTTTCACGTGTATGTCCTCCCTGTGTTCAACACTGGCAAAAATGTCATTGAAAATTCACAATTCTGCCGCAAACAATGGTGATCATTATGTACAGTTTTATATTCACAATCGCATCAGTTTCATATGGAAACATCAGAGAAAAACAATAACAAATAAAACAGAGGAATCAATGACCAGACGTCAACAATGACCTTAACACCAATGACCTTGACCATCAGTGACCCTAATCAACAATGGCCTTGACCATCAATGACCTTGACCTTTCACCTCATGCTCCAGGCATGAGCCATGAAAGACAGATATATGTGATGCCATATTATTAGCACTTCATCAACAATACTATGAATAGTTTCCTTTTGGACACATTCACCGCCAAGTCTCCGGGAAATGAAAACGAGTCTCAGTTTTGAAGGTAACGCAAGGTGTAAGCAACGTGCATGGTTACCGTGGAGATCCCAAAGGTAAAGCAGCTATAAGAGACACAGAGACGAGCTAAGATAGTTTATCTCATCTCTTCCCAGCCTTGCCAGTGTCGATAGTGCTGATATTTTGGTAAACTTTGTTGGCATCGTCTGGTGGCGCTCTGAAACAGGTGAAAACAGTAGTGAGTGAGTTTAGTTTTAAGCCACGTTTAGCAATATTCCAGCAATATCATGGCGGGGGACACCACAAATGGGTTTCATACATTGTACCCATGTGGGGAATCTAAGCTGAGTGATCACAGTAAGTGACTGCACGTTATATACTACCAGTATACCAGTATACTGCGATAGTATACACTTTTCAAATGATACATATTGCAATATTTTTCTGTGTTGTAGTTTATAGCGTAAAAGAAATGAACAAAATATTTAGTTATTATTTGTATCAACTGGAAAATTGATTGTATTTAAGCTGAGAGCAAAGCTATACTACTCACCTGGGAACTTTTTTATCTTGAAGACGTGTATTGGATATCTGAGGAGGAAGGGAGTTTGTAGGGATCGAGTTACGTGCACGCGCCATGTTCTCAGATCCCGTGGCATATTTGATGTTAGTGTAATCTCTCCCTGCCATCTGGCTTTTCTGAAAACGTAGCATCTCCGCTTTTAGTATGTGTTTCATGAAAAATATACAAAAATATTCGTAATTATATACACTTGGATGGAGGGGATTATTTATGTAGAATTACCCCAATACAGATAATGTAGGAAATACAACGATCCTAATCCACATTTTCATCATGCACACTTTTGGTACTGCCCACTATCGCATACTTCTTTCTCAAATGCCTACGTCCTACAACCCTATAGCCACATGTGTATGTAGGACCTACATGCATATCATGGCCAATTTTTATTACAATAAATAATATTAAAAAATACAAAAGTGTGACGCTGAATTCTATTACAAATATAATGATATGTCTACAAAATTTATCCATGCTGAAAAGTACATTCCGGTTTGAAGGTCTCCACCACATTGAACTCAATCTTACTCAAAGCATACAAATACTCATATAAATACAGACCATATAATCCCAATCCACACAACATACTGCGTATCATCAGAAAAAGGCACATTTGTCTTGGGTGAAATATCCTTAGGAAGACATTTTATGCCCTATAATAACGTTACACGTAGATATTCCTAACAATATTGGTCTCGAAAATTTGATGTCCAAACCAACAGGGTTCCACTGAACATAGCACAGTGTGACTACCCTAGGTGAGTGAGTGAGTGATTTAAGTTTAATGCCACGCTTAGCAATATTCCAGCTATATGGTGGCGGTCTGTAAGTAATCGAGTCTGGACCAGACAATCCAGTGATCTACGCAATTGGGATACGATGACACGTGTCAACCAAGTCAGCGACCCTGACCACCCGATCCCGTCAGTCGCTTTTACGACAGGCATGGGTTACGGAAGATCAATTCTAACCCAGAACTTCAAGGGTGACTACCCAAGGAAACTCCACAGTAACACAGTGAATGTACCTGCTCTGCCTGCCGCCGCTGTCCTTCAGTGTCCATGTAATGCAACACAGCCATGTATACGAACTTATACTGAGCCTCGGTTTGAACCATGCCCGACCTCTGTGACCTCACCATCTGTATGGTCTTCTGAATGTCGATGTCGCAGTCAAAACCTGTTGGACAAAGAAAACGTTTGAAGTACATTCCACTTTTCGGTTCTTTTTACGATCAAGAGGAGGAACCCTTTTTATGAATAGATATATTCATTATTGCAACTGAGGCGACGTTTCAATGTAGATCCTAATACCGCTATCAAGTAATTATACTAGGGCTGCGCAATATAACTGGTTTACCGGTATTTACCGGTTCAGACATGAAAACGATAAGTATTGCAATATGCTGATCGAAAACCGGTATTTGACTTGCATTCGGAAAACGTCGAAACACTTGGAAATCTTCGGATATTTCCTTGTTTCATTTGTGCCAAATATTATTCACATTTTTATTTTATCATGATTATAAGTTGTTATTAAAGCTTAATCAAGCATAGTGACTTTGTTGTGTTTTTGCTCTATAAATCAAGAAGTAACTCGATTATAAGAAAAAATTTTTGTTTAAAAATACTTCATGCAATATATTGCAATACATGCTTTCGCATCGCAATATATCGCAATATGAAAATTCTCTGCAATACCCAACCCTAAATGATACACAACATTATGCACAAGGAGAATATAAACATAGCCAGATGGGCAAAGGGTAGGAAGGGTTATTCTCGATTAGATATGGTAATGATTCCTCTTCATACCAGCTTCTAAATGCCACTTAAAGACGTCTTTACAGTCAATACCATCAGGCAGCATAAGAATGTCCCCTTTTTAAGAATAGTCCATGGAACAAGCATAAACGTCATAATCTGTAGCTATCCACGCTCAAACAAGACCAAAATGTTTACTTATTTCTGTTACTGTTATTCAGTTCCCTTTTGTAGCAAATTAAAGCATTGAAAATTGGTTCGGAATTATAGCCCTTGAATTGGCTCTTTTTCCTAAAAGACCTTACCATGCACCTTGATCTGGTTCAGTATGATATCTATGACTATGAATGTTCCGGTCCTCCCAATGCCAGCACTGAAACAGAACATATCCACACTTAGCATCCTCCTCAAACTACTACAGGTTAGTTGATTGGTTGGTTGGTTGATTAACGCCGCACTCGGCAATATTCCAGCTATATGGAGGCGGTCTGTAAATAATTGAATCTGGACCAGACAGTCCAGTGATCAACAGCATGAGAATCGGTATGCGCAATTGGGATAGGATGATATGCGTCAACTAAGTCAGCGAGCCTGACCACCCGATCCCGTTAGTGGCATTCTTACGACATGAATGGGTTACTATTGACGCGATTGGGATACGATGACATGTGTCAACCAAGTCAGCGAGTCTGACCACCCAATCCCTTTAGTCGCCTCTTATGACAGGCATGGGTTACTGAAGATCAATTCTAACCTGGATCTTCATGGGTCAAAACAACAGGATGCAAATATGTGACAAACTTGATTCCAAAGTCTGGGGCTCATTCCATGAAACTATCCTACTGCCAAGAAGATCGTAAGGCAAATACTTTGACATATACCAACGGCAGACATAACATTACGATCACTCTGTGATACGGGGTCCAGGTATTTATCACCTTTACTTAAAACTATAGACAAAATTAGACAAAATGGGGAAAAAAGTATTTTGTTCAAAATTGGAATATATTAAAAATGTTATCTGACAAGTTTGGAAACAATTCCACAAAGTGATCATAGCACTAAGATGATCATATTTCCCACACTTTAACGTAGACTTACAGCAGTCCTAGCACTAACATGATCATATTTCCCATACTTTAACATAGACTTACAGCAGTCATAGCACTAAGATGATCATATTTCCCATACTTTAACATAGACTTACAGCGATCATAGCACTAACATGATCATATTTCCCATACTTTAACATAGACTTACAGCGATCATAGCACTAACATGATCATATTTCCCATACTTTAACATAGACTTACAGCGATCATAGCACTAAGATGATCATATTTCCCGTACTTTAACATAGACTTACAGCGATCATAGCACTAACATGATCATATTTCCCATACTTTAACATAGACTTACAGCGATCATAGCACTAACATGATCATATTTCCCATACTTTAACATAGACTTACAGCGATCATAGCACTAAGATGATCATATTTCCCGTACTTTAACATAGACTTACAGCGATCATAGCACTAACATGATCATATTTCCCATACTTTAACATAGACTTACAGCGATCATAGCACTAACATGATCATATTTCCCATACTTTAACATAGACTTACAGAGATCATAGCACTAAGATGATCATATTTCCCGTACTTTAACATAGACTTACAGCAGTCATAGTGCTACCATTGCTTTGTGGAACGGGCCCCTGGTGGTATCCTGAGATGTGAATTCAGTTTAAATGCAAGAAATGCAGAAACTAAAAACTAAGCATGAAAGCATCTTTCTCTATATAGGTGTGTCCAGTGAAATACAAGTCACCTCAACTCTATATAGGTGTGTCCAGTGTCACCTCAACTCTATATAGGTGTGTCCAGTGAAATACAAGTCACCTCGACTCTATATAGGTGTGTCCAGTGAAATACAAGTCACCTCAACTCTATATAGGTGTGTCCAGTGTCACCTCAACTCTATATAGGTGTGTCCAGTGTCACCTCGACTCTATATAGGTGTGTCCAGTGAAATACAAGTCACCTCAACTCTATATAGGTGTGTCCAGTGTCACCTCAACTCTATATAGGTGTGTCCAGTGAAATACAAGTCACCTCGACTCTATATAGGTGTGTCCAGTGTCACCTCAACTCTATATAGGTGTGTCCAGTGAAATACAAGTCACCTCAACTCTATATAGGTGTGTCCAGTGTCACCTCAACTCTATATAGGTGTGTCCAGTGAAATACAAGTCACCTCGACTCTATATAGGTGTGTCCAGTGTCACCTCGACTCTATATAGGTGTGTCCAGTGTCACCTCGACTCTATATAGGTGTGTCCAGTGTCACCTCAACTCTATATAGGTGTGTCCAGTGAAATACAAGTCACCTCGACTCTATATAGGTGTGTCCAGTGTCACCTCGACTCTATATAGGTGTGTCCAGTGTCACCTCAACTCTATATAGGTGTGTCCAGTGTCACCTCAACTCTATATAGGTGTGTCCAGTGTCACCTCAACTCTATATAGGTGTGTCCAGTGTCACCTCGACTCTATATAGGTGTGTCCAGTGTCACCTCGACTCTATATAGGTGTGTCCAGTGTCACCTCGACTCTATATAGGTGTGTCCAGTGTCACCTCAACTCTATATAGGTGTGTCCAGTGAAATACAAGTCACCTCAACTCTATATAGGTGTGTCCAGTGAAATAAAAGTCACCTCAACTCTATATAGGTGTGTCCAGTGAAATACAAGTCACCTCAACTCTATATAGGTGTGTCCAGTGAAATACAAGTCACCTCGACTCTATATAGGTGTGTCCAGTGAAATACAAGTCACCTCGACTCTATATAGGTGTGTCCAGTGAAATACAAGTCACCTCAACTCTATATAGGTGTGTCCAGTGAAATACAAGTCACCTCAACTCTATATAGGTGTGTCCAGTGAAAATACAAGTCACCTCAACTCTACTATAGGTGTGTCCAGTGAAATACAAGTCACCTCAACTCTATATAGGTGTGTCCAGTGAAATACAAGTCACCTCAACTCTATATAGGTGTGTCCAGTGAAATACAGGTCACCTCAACTCTATATAGGTGTGTCCAGTGAAATACAAGTCACCTCGACACTATATAGGTGTGTCCAGTGAAATACAAGTCACCTCAACTCTATATAGGTGTGTCCAGTGAAATACAAGTCACCTCAACTCTATATAGGTGTGTCCAGTGAAATACAAGTCACCTCAACTCTATATAGGTGTGTCCAGTGAAATACAAGTCACCTCGACTCTATATAGGTGTGTCCAGTGTCACCTCAACTCTATATAGGTGTGTCCAGTGTCACCTCGACTCTATATAGGTGTGTCCAGTGTCACCTCAACTCTATATAGGTGTGTCCAGTGTCACCTCAACTCTATATAGGTGTGTCCAGTGTCACCTCGACTCTATATAGGTGTGTCCAGTGTCACCTCGACTCTATATAGGTGTGTCCAGTGTCACCTCGACTCTATATAGGTGTGTCCAGTGTCACCTCAACTCTATATAGGTGTGTCCAGTGAAATACAAGTCACCTCAACTCTATATAGGTGTGTCCAGTGAAATACAAGTCACCTCAACTCTATATAGGTGTGTCCAGTGAAATACAAGTCACCTCAACTCTATATAGGTGTGTCCAGTGAAATACAAGTCACCTCAACTCTATATAGGTGTGTCCAGTGAAATACAAGTCACCTCGACTCTATATAGGTGTGTCCAGTGAAATACAAGTCACCTCAACTCTATATAGGTGTGTCCAGTGAAATACAAGTCACCTCGACTCTATATAGGTGTGTCCAGTGAAATACAAGTCACCTCGACTCTATATAGGTGTGTCCAGTGAAATACAAGTCACCTCAACTCTATATAGGTGTGTCCAGTGAAATACAAGTCACCTCAACTCTATATAGGTGTGTCCAGTGAAATACAAGTCACCTCAACTCTATATAGGTGTGTCCAGTGAAATACAAGTCACCTCAACTCTATATAGGTGTGTCCAGTGAAATACAAGTCACCTCAACTCTATATAGGTGTGTCCAGTGAAATACAAGTCACCTCAACTCTATATAGGTGTGTCCAGTGAAATACAAGTCACCTCAACTCTATATAGGTGTGTCCAATGAAATACAAGTCACCTCAACTCTATATAGGTGTGTCCAGTGAAATACAAGTCACCTCAACTCTATATAGGTGTGTCCAGTGAAATACAAGTCACCTCAACTCTATATAGGTGTGTCCAGTGAAATACAAGTCACCTCAACTCTATATAGGTGTGTCCAGTGAAATACAAGTCACCTCAACTCTATATAGGTGTGTCCAGTGAAATACAAGTCACCTCTCAACTCTATATAGGTGTGTCCAGTGAAATACAAGTCCTCCTCAACTCTATATAGGTGTGTCCAGTGAAATACAAGTCACCTCAACTCTATATAGGTGTGTCCAGTGAAATACAAGTCACCTCAACTCTATATAGGTGTGTCCAGTGAAATACAAGTCACCTCGACTCTATATAGGTGTGTCCAGTGAAATACAAGTCACCTCAACTCTATATAGGTGTGTCCAGTGAAATACAAGTCACCTCGACTCTATATAGGTGTGTCCAGTGAAATACAAGTCACCTCGACTCTATATAGGTGTGTCCAGTGAAATACAAGTCACCTCAACTCTATATAGGTGTGTCCAGTGAAATACAAGTCACCTCAACTCTATATAGGTGTGTCCAGTGAAATACAAGTCACCTCAACTCTATATAGGTGTGTCCAGTGAAATACAAGTCACCTCAACTCTATATAGGTGTGTCCAGTGAAATACAAGTCACCTCAACTCTATATAGGTGTGTCCAGTGAAATACAAGTCACCTCAACTCTATATAGGTGTGTCCAGTGAAATACAAGTCACCTCGACTCTGATACTGATGATTCCCTTGTAGCCCACGACTAACCTGCAGTGGACAACAATGGGCCCAGCTTTGTCATCAATCATCTCTTGTCTGGCGTTCACAACATGGAGGAAGTTAAGCACGCTGCCAGGGTCTGCAGGAACACCATAGTCTGGCCAGGTCTGGAAGTGATACTGGTAGATCTGACGAGGGTCTGATTCCTGAAAAAGAAAACGATTTTCTTACACGCCTGTTGGAAAAATGGTATGGAAGGGATATGTAAGATCCAATTTCAGGTCTGTGAGTGAGTGAGTTTAGTTTTACGCCGAATTCAGTAAATTTCCAGCTATATGGCGTTGGTCTGTAAACAATCAAGTCTGACCAGATAATCCATCTACTCAATTGGGATATGATGACATGTGTCAACCAAGTCAGCGAGCCTGACCACCCGATCCCGTTAGTCGCCTCTGATGACAAGCATGGGTTGCTGAAGACCAATTCTAAGCCAGATCTTCATGGGTAAATTTTGAACAGACTTTGTGCTAAGATTGTAGGCCGGCCCTAGAGACTGCTTTGTGTTCATTATCTATCAGCTCTCACTCACATGGGCAACCAGACTTAACAGTGTGAAAGTAAAGGTCATTTACAGACAGAAGACATTCAGTGTGAAAATGTGAGTAATGGATACCTTGTGATTGATTTCTTGGCCAGGAAATAAAAACAAGGACCTTATATTTCTTCCGGGAAGTTAAGACATGATTAATGAAACAGAAAGTTGACATCAATCCCCATGAAAGTCCAAATTTATTTTGTTGTCAAGGTACAAACACACTTCATGTGAGGTTGCCTAGTTTCTCATGAGACATGTGAGGCTTGTTATGTGTGAGTTCAGAAGTTTGATGTTCCGTGCTTCAGTCAGTAACTTTCAAGATACAGGACGGTCACTTGGGCATAATCGTGTCTGGACTGGTTAATCCTGCGGTTTTGAATACACAGTGACATTTGATGTAATCCTGTGGGTGATATACGAACAAAGATGTATACCATCAGGGTATGATGATACCCAACCAATCAAATCACTGAGGTTACCTGAACCATTGCGACGTAACTTAAATGTGAAAAAAAATAAAAATAAAAATAAAAATATCTGGAATATACTGCCCTAAAAACTTAACTACAGAACATAAATGATACTCACTTAATCTTACACTTTGACTATAACCTTAACCTCGGACTTTTTCCTTGACCCTTGACATTATCCTTGACCTCCTTGACATTATCCTTGCCCCTTGACATTATCCTTGACCTCCTTGACATTATCCTTGACCCTTGACATTATCCTTGACCTCCTTGACATTATCCTTGACCCTTGACATTATCCTGGACCCTTGACATTATCCTGGACCTCCTTGACCCTTGACATTATCCTTGACCCTTGACATTATCCTGGACCCTTGACATTATCCTGGACCTCCTTGACATTATCCTTGACCCTTGACATTATCCTTGACCCTTGACATTATCCTTGACCTCTTACTACTTTCTTAACTTATGACTATAACCATACCCTTTAACAACAACATTGAGCGAGTGAGTTTTAGTTTTACGCTGCTTCTAGCAGTATTCTAGCAATATCAAGGCAGGGGACGACAAGAACATTGACATTGGACTTTAACCCATGGCTATTAACATGACCTTTGACAATAACCTTGACCTCTGACCTAGTTCATGTATACTGACCTGTCCATCCAGGACCATCCTGACCTCCAATTCCCTTGTGATGTAATCTGTCTCGGTGACCTCACTGACTAGTTTCACCTTGACACAGCCATCAGGGATAGGTTTCACAAGCTCTTTTTCAGAGTTATCTGGCCAGTATCGCACAGCCTTGTTCTGAAGAGATCAGAATGACAGTTTCATTAAAAATGAACTTATATAAGCTACTCCAAAGAGTGAGTGAGTGAGTTTAGTTTTACAACACACTCAGCAATATTTCAGCCATATGGCGGCTGTCTGTAGATACTCGAGTCTGGACCAGACAATTCAGTGATCAACAGTAGGAGCATCGATCTACGCAATTGGGATATGATGACATGTGTCAACCAAGTCCTCAAGTCTGACTGACTGAGTGAGTATGGTTTTACGCTGTTTTTAGCAATATTTCAGCAATATCAAGGCGGGGGACACCAGAAATAGGCTTCACAAATTGTACCCATGTGGGGAATCGAACCCGGGCCTTCGGCGTGACGAGCGAATGCTTTAACCACGAGGATACCCAACCGCCCCCTCAAGTCTGACCACCCGATCCCATTAGTCGCCTCTTACGACAAGCATGGGTTACTGAGGATCAATTCTAACCCGGACCTTCAGGGGTCCTACTTCGAAGAAAAGGACCACATGATGTTTACAGTTTTGGTCCAATCAAATACATGGACCCAAAGAGCCATTGAAACAAAATCAAAGAGATTCACAGAGAGTAGAACCCCAGAACATATTATCAAACAAAATGTTTTTCTTGTAAGGATGACCTGTTCTAAATTTTGTTCGCTGGAGACTAAGTCATAATTGTCTCCATTGAAGCTGATGAGCAATGCATGTGGCCAGTTTCCTGGAAATATTTTGAAAGTTTTCTCAAGATGTGGCCCGGAAATGAACCCTACCCTCCTTTAAGGACTAAAATTGAAATTGTTTCCAAGGATGCAAAAAACAATTTGGAATAACTGCAAAAAGGTTTAAGCACCAGTCAAGCTAATCAGTAATGTATATATGCAAATATCTCAAAACAACATGTCTCCCCCTAGCTACAACCTTTGGGGCGAGGAGTAGGCAGGCATAGTTATGTCAAGCTAAAATACTGACCCTGGTAAAAAGTAATACCATGCCTTACCTTTCCCCTTTCCACTTCTTTAGTTGTCATGACGATGACCCGAGAGTTTTCCTGCCAGACCATTCGCCAAAGGTCAGCAACAGTGTGGGGGAGACAACCCTGGGTGGCAACGTACGTCTTCTTTGGTTCCAAGCTGTCCTCCTCAGCCTTGAGAACAAAACATGGGGACAAGATTGAAGAATACTAGATACCATCTGCCAGTTTGGCAACTTTGGTAAGGGATATGCACAAGCAAATTATTTCAAGTCCCATTTTAACTGTCCTGCTAAGACAACGAGTTTGGGGGTTATCTCAGCGTTTGGCCAGAACTACAAAGTGAGTGAGTGATTATGGTTTTACGCTGCTTTTAGCAATATTCCAGCAATATAACGGTGTGGAACACCAGAAATGGGCTTCACACATTGTACCCATGTGGGGAATCGAACCTGGTCTTTAGCATGACAACTGGACACTTTAACCATTAACCACCCCCCCGAATCTCCAAAGCCATCTGGGGCGGTGGGGTAGCCTAATGGTTAAAGCGTTGGCTCGTCACGCCGAAGACCCGGGTTCGAATCCCCACATGGGTACAATGTGTGAAGCCCATTTCTGGTGTCCCCCGCCGTGATGTTGCTGGAATATTGCTAAAAGCGGCGTAAAACCAAACTCAGTCAGTCAGTCAGTCCAAAGCCATCTTATCAAAAAATCAGACTCATAGCTAAGAATACTTTGTGGAACAAGACTCCTCAGTTTAAATTAGTGAGCATATGTTTACACTACTTTCAGCCAGAAACACAATGAAAAGGCTACAAATATTGCAACAGCTTAACATTCAAATACTTTATCGAGTCACCTACTCAACCATCCATACTCCCATTGGAGGTTGACAGTGAGTTTAATTTCAGTCGGTTTGAACAATGTTTCAGTTTATCAGTGTTTGAGGAAAGTGTACTGAGGTTATATGCAGGTTATCCCACGGGCCAGCATGTCCATATCGCCTGCAGATGGGGGTGATAACTGATGTTTACGCTAACAGCGATGTGCTATAAGATTAATCATAAACAGGTCTCTTGAGGCTTGTTGTCCTCTTGTCGGAACTGAATCTCAGCTTGTTCTACATGGGGGTCATTACGAAGAATAACAACCTGTCAAAAGCGCAGCTATTATACATCAACATGGGGGGGGGAGGAGGAGAGGGGGGGTGCTAAAACAAAATCAAAGAGATTCACAGAGAGCATACACAGCTATTATACATCAACATGGTATAAAACTTGGCCCAAACTACTCACTGTGATCAGGTTGGCATTGATGTAGTCAGCCCCCACAACGTTGGGGTCACAGTCCTTCAATAACACCCTTGTGTGGTCAACTGCAAGGTAGGAAGGTCAAGGTCAGATAAAGGTGACACAGTAAAAAGTAACATATTCAAAATTAGAATTTACTGGCAAACAAGAATGATTTCAGCACCAACCTGACAACTGACCCATATTAGCATGTATGAGTGCCACCCATTGGCGCTTGCCATTGTTAGCAAAGGGGCCCCAGGTTGTCCGCTGTCAAGTGTAGTGCGACTTGCTACACCGACATGAGAGTCTTATGTGCAAGGTGTATGCAGCTACGCGAAGAATCAATTTCATCGTCATGCAATGCACGAGCACTAGTCTACATCGGCTCTACCTTTCACAAACCAAATGGGTTTGCTCATTGCTGTGCACCAACACCAAACACGTTCTCTGCGCTGGTCCAACTTATCCTTGTTTGCCAGTAGGTACATGTAACTATAGTCTTAGCCAAACCCCCAGTTTGGTCAGTTGACCTATTTGGGTCCAATCCAACATTTTGGTAAATTCAACCACTTGGACCAATCAAGTTTTTCAGTCAATTCAACTAATTGGACCAATCAAGCTTTTCAGTTAATTCAACTATTTGGACCAATCAATCTTTTCAGTTAATTCAACTACTAAGACCAATCAAGCTTTTCAGTGAATTCAACTAATTGGACCAATCAAGCTTTTCAGTTAATTCAACTAATTGGACCAATCAATCTTTTCAGTTAATTCAACTACTAAGACCAATCAAGCTTTTCAGTGAATTCAACTAATTGGACCAATCAAGCTTTTCAGTCAATTCAACTAATTGGACCAATCAAGCTTTTCAGTCAATTCAACTAATTGGACCAATCAATCTTTTCAGTTAATTCAACTACTAAGACCAATCAAGCTTTTCAGTCAATTCAACTAATTGGACCAATCAAGCTTTTCAGTCAATTCAACTATTTGGACCAATCAAGCTTTTCAGTGAATTCAACTAATTGGACCAATCAAGCTTTTCAGTCAATTCAACTAATTGGACCAATCAAGCTTTTCAGTCAATTCAACTAATTGGACCAATCAAGCTTTTCAGTTAATTCAACTACTAAGACCAATCAAGCTTTTCAGTCAATTCAACTATTTGGACCAATCAAGCTTTTCAGTCAATTCAACTATTTGGACCAATCAAGCTTTTCAGTTAATTCAACTAATTGGACCAATCAAGCTTTTCAGTCAATTCAACTAATTGGACCAATCAAGCTTTTCAGTCAATTCAACTAATTGGACCAATCAAGCTTTTCAGTCAATTCAACTATTTGGACCAATCAAGCTTTTCAGTTAATTCAACTAATTGGACCAATCAAGCTTTTCAGTGAATTCAACTAATTGGACCAATCAAGCTTTTCAGTCAATTCAACTAACTGGACCAATCAAGCTTTTCAGTCAATTCAACTAATTGGACCAATCAAGCTTTTCAGTCAATTCAACTAATTGGACCAATCAAGCTTTTCAGTCAATTCAACTAATTGGACCAATCAAGCTTTTCAGTCAATTCAACTACTTGGACCAATCAACTATTTCACTTAATTCAACAATTACACAACCATTTCGATCAATTTCGCCACTAGAATCCACTCAAGCATTCCAGTCAGTTTAACGACACAGACTCCATGAACAGTTTTGGTCCAATCAAATACTTGGACCCAAAGAGCCATTGAAACAAATTCAAAGATATTCACAGAGAGTAGTGCCCCAGGAAATATTATCAAACAAAATGTTTTTCTTGTTGTAAGGATGACCTGTTCTAAATTTTGTTTATTGGAGACTAAGTCAACACTGTCTCCATTGAAGCTGATGAGCAATGCATGTGGCCAGTTTCCTGGAAATATTTTGAAAGTTTTCTCAAGATGTGGCCTGGAAATGAACCCTACCCTCCTTTAGGACTAAGCTGAAATTGTTTCCAAGGATGCAAAAAACAATTTAGAAAAACTGCAAAAAGGCTTAAGGCACCAGTCAAGCTAATGAGTAATGCAGTGTTCCCGGTGGTTTTGAAAATTACCGGCGGCTTATGCCGACGGGGTCTGAAAATTCCGGCTGAACTAGTTTTTATCCGGAGAGACAAATTAATCAGTAATCGCAACGATATACTGTACGTAAATGTGTTGAAAAGTCTGCCGTACGAGTTGCTTGTTTTTCGAGAATGCTCATTAGACCTGACAAAAGTATTCGCCATTTGGCATATATAGCCGTTCGTCTCGTATTTTGTCACAATCAGGAAATGAAAGCGGTCCAACTAAATTCGATAAATGTGTTCAGAATGTCATTCGCTATCTAAATGACTGTGAAATGTGCAAATAATTAGTGTTTATATACCTGTGGTGAATTTCAACCTGCATTTCACGAGTTGAAAACAACGATTCTCGGACACATGCTTCGGCAGCGGGTCCACAATAACATTGTCAAAGAGCAAAGTAACCATGTTTCGAGGAATTCATTAAATAAATTGAATAAACTAATGAATAAAATCAACAACATTCATAAAAGTTGTACATATAAAATTACTATTTTCCATGTTTTTGTGCGATCATGTAATGTAAGTCAAGTCACTGACAACTGACATCTCGGCTCTCGCTAGCCTCAATCTTCAAGCTCGGACCGATGTTTAATGCTAAAATATATACATGAAGCATATTTGTCACAGGTCATAACCTAGCACGATCGTCAAAAAGTTCCATAATTTACGTTATAGGTAGCGATTTCTTCCTTAATATGTTCAGAATAGCATTATTTTACCCAAAACTTCTGTCTAAATCTAAAAGTTTTGGTTTTACGAGGATCGAATCCATTGCCGTAATATGATTGGCTGCTTTAGGTCCGCGTGTCAGATTTTGACCAATTCGACCCTTATAGCAGACTGTGGCGAAAAGCGTCATTAGAAACCAATCTTTATCCAATAAAATCGCTTCTTACAACTGTGAAAAAACTATATAGTCTATATTTAGATGTGGGATTGCCACCCTAGTTTTCAATATACGTTTGCATAATGATCTGAAGAGAACAAAGAATAAACAAAGATGTTATCTGCAAGTTTATTAAATCTGCCGATAAATGGCAACTTTAAGCAATACAAAATTTACCGGCGGCAGCTACCGACGGCAGTTGAAAATACCGGATCTTCACAATTTTTATCGGTAAAAATCCGGTAATTACCGGAGAACGGGAACACTGGTAATGTATATATGCAAATATCTCAAAACAACATGTCTCCCCCTAGCCACAACTCTTGGGGCGAGGAGTAGGCAGGCATAGTTATGGAAGAATGTCAAGCTAAAATATTGAACCTGGTAAAAAGTAATACCATTGAACCCATTCGAGTATTTTGGTCATTTCAGCATGTAGACCTTATCAGTCCTTCTGGTGGAATCAATGACTTGGGCCAAATTGTCCATTTTGGTAAATTCTGCAATTTTGTCCCATTCTACAATTTATATCCAGTCACATTACATTTTGGTTGAACTTCTAACTAAATAATGACAGAACACCATGGACAGCCAACTCCATGTCCTACACCACTAGAGAGTGAGTGAGTGAGTCAGTTGGGTTTTACGCCGCTTTTAGCAATATTCCAGCAATATCACACGGGGGACACCAGAAATGGGCTTCAAACGTTGTGCCCATGTGGGGAATCGAACCCGGGCCTACAGCGTGACGATCGAACACTTTAACCATTAGACTACCCCACCGCCCCATCACCACCACAGATTTCAACACCAGTATCAGGCATGTGAGTGAGTGAGTGAGTGCGTGAGTTTAGTTTTACGCCGCACTCAGCAATATTCCAGCTATATGGCGGCGGTCTGTAAATAATCAAGTCTGGACCAGACAATCCAGTGATCAACATGATGAGCATCGATCTACGCAATTGGGAACCGATGACATGTGTCAACCAAGCCAGCAAGCCTGACCACCCGATCCCGTTAGTCGCCTCTTACGACAAGCATGGGTTACTGAAGATCAATATTTTAACCCGGACCTTCACAGGTGTACCGGACATGTACACAAGAGGGCAGCATTACAACTGTTACGATTCACTCAGGTATTCATAAATTCAATACGTTAATAGCGATCACTAGAATCAAATATTGTGATTAATGTCCCTATGTTGGGGAAAGGGGAAGTTCATTTGAGTGCAGCTCCTTAATTACACATTTATGGCATTTGCATTGCTTAGAGGAAGAAAAGTTTTAAAATGAAAAAATATAAATTCTATAAACAAAAATTCTCTTTATAGCCTGACAGAGTGATAACATGTTACTGAAGGAAACAGGCTGTGGGCTGTCATTCCTGATACAACAGCACTACATACGCTGAGCTGGGAAACGACACTTAACCTCGTATTCCTAACGACTGCTAGTCAACTGAGTACACCATGACAGCAGCTCGAGGCCTTGGACTTCCTGGTTTGTGCAGGATGTTATTCATAGCACTGATATTGATGACGTGAACTGACGTTGGTATAGCAGCATATAGAATGACCTACATACAATAGCATGCTTCTACTCACATCAAAACCCTAACACGCTCATACACTTTTTAGATGATTTTTTTAAAACTACCTGCCAACTCAAATATGGTTCAAGATGAAGTATTTATTTAAGGTTCAATATTTCAGACAGTTTTTGTGTGCAACTCCTGATCATAAGGCAGGGCAAAAAAATCATTTCAGATTATTTTTCAAACATAAATGTGAAATATATTGCCAAGTGTGCAGTGTTAATTATGCTTGTCTTATTGACTACTAGTAATCTATTGTCTAGCTGTTTAATATTTCATAGGGGCGGTGGGGTAGCCTAGTGGTTAAAGCGTTGGCTCGTCATGCCGAAGACCCGGGTTCGATTCCCCACATGGGCACAATGTGTTAAGCCCATTTCTGGTGTCCCCCGCCGTGATATTGCTGGAATATTGCTAAAAGTGGTGTAAAACTAAACTCAGTCAGTCAGTCAGTAATATTTCATAACATTTCTTATAGCTGTTTAACCTGTTGTGATTTACATTTTGTTACATTTTCTCACTGTCTAACCACTGTAACGTATTGTCAAGCTGATCAAACGTCTGTAGCATGTGTCTGTAGCATGCGTCTGTAACATGCGTCTGTAACATAGGTTCTTGCTGTGTAACCTATTGTCTAGCTGTTAACTCAGTATAACTGATTGTCAGGTATTTTTGCCAGTGTAACCTACTCTCTAACCTACTCTCTAACCTACTCTCTAACCTACTCTCTAACACCATGCTGCTAACTACTACAGTAAAACAGGTGGATGACTTTGGACAAAAATAGAATCTTACTATCATGTCTTTTGATATCAAATATCTCAACACTCATCAAACAAGGTTTTGAGCTCTCTCCAGCCTTGGAGTATAAAACTTATAAACTAGGTTGCATGAAATTTATCTTGCCTCACACATAAATCTTGTTTTCCGATTGGCTGAGAGCTCTTCTATTATCTTCAATGCACCCCGCTTACAAGCGAGTAACATTTTCTATGTACCCCGCTGGGAATGCCGAACTTATTTGGTACTTCGTAGTAGTAATTCTTTATCTCAAATAACATTGAATCACGTATGACGTACGGAAATTACCGATGTTTTGCGAATGCAAATCGATGGAAGGGAGATAAGTCTAAATTTGTTTTTCTTGTCGTCTGGTTACAACATACTATGATCCGATACCCATGCTTCAAACAGTTCAAAATTACCACTGAGGTGTTTGGTAAGATAAATACATTGTTCACTGGTCCCTCGGGGCCCATGGGTTGATGTACCCTCGATGTTTCTTATTGTTCCCCTTGCCCTTCAGACAAAACTAAACAAACATCGGGGGTACATCAGCCCGTGTCCCCCTCGAGACCAGTGAGTGAGTGAGTTTGGTTTTACGCCGCTTTTAGCAATATTCCAGCAACATCACGGCAGGGGACACCAGAAATGGGCTTCACACAATGTACCCATGTGGGGATTCGAACCCGGGTCTTCGGCGTGACGAGCCAACGCTTTAACCACTAGGCTACCCCACCGCCCCTCGAGACCAGTGAACAACTTATAATATGCCAATACAGTAGAAGGTCAAGACACACAAAGTTATCATCATCCTCAGGTCAGCTACAAATCTGAAAAAATGGAACATCTGTCCCGAGATGACGATATGTTCAGAACATGTTAAAACAGGTGTATGCTCAAGGTTTTAGGAACTGTATATGGCAAATACTCACATGGTAAAATATTTTTGTATCTATTTTTAGCTTTGTTTTCTGGTCTCATGCCTTCCTTTCGGCTGTACAGGTGGCGAACTTCTTGCTGCTGCAGTTGCTGAAATTACAGGTAAATGACAATCACAGGTAAATGATGATCACGGGTAAATGACAATTACAAGTTAGTGACAATCACAGGTAAATGACAATCACAGGTAAATGATGATCACGGGTAAATGACAATTACAAGTTAGTGACAATCACAGGTAAATGACAATCACAGGTAAATGATGATCACGGGTAAATGACAATTACAAGTTAGTGACAATCACAGGTAAATGATGATCACGGGTAAATGACAATTACAAGTTAGTGACAATCACAGGTAAATGACAATCACAGGTAAATGATGATCACGGGTAAATGACAATTACAAGTTAGTGACAATCACAGGTAAATGACAATCACAGGTAAATGATGATCACGGGTAAATGACAATTACAAGTTAGTGACAATCACAGGTAAATGATGATCACGGGTAAATGATGATCACGGGTAAATGACAATTACAAGTTAGTGACAATCACAGGTAAATGACAATCACAGGTAAATGATGATCACGGGTAAATGACAATTACAAGTTAGTGACAATCACAGGTAAATGATGATCACGGGTAAATAACAATCACGGGTAAATGACAATCACGAGTAAATGACAATCACAAGCGAAGACGAAATTTTATATTCTTCAAAATAACTGACAGTATTGCAAAGTTTGAAATAAAAAGCCCACATGATTATTTCAACCTCAGAGACACAAAATACTTTGCCATTACTTTGAATACCCAATGTGTAGTGTGAGATGGTATATTTTGGACATCATACTTCTTCTTGAAATGTGTTGCATCACTCTGACAATGTAATTACTTCCATATAGCTGTGTATTTTAAAGACAATCTTGTCTGTTATATGTTAATGACAAGTTTGAATGTTGTCCATGTGAAAAAAATTACAAATGTTTCATAAGCTGCTTAAAGCATACTAAAAACAATATTGTGATGAAATATTGTTTATATTCCTACTGAAATGAATTAAGAAAAATTTATATGTAGCTGATCCTATAGTGAAAAGTCCATCTACCTCAAACTCGTCCCAGAAACCTCCCTTGTTTTTGTCATTCTCCTTCTCAGCCTGCAGCTGTTTGATGCGATTGTCGATACCAGATGCAGTGATTCGAGTGGCATTGAACGGCTGAAACAAGACAACATTACAAGTTCCTGAAACATATTTCACGTGAAACACTCATAGTGAGTGAGAACGGTTTTACGCCGCTTTTAGCAATATTCCAGCAATATCGTGGCAGGGGACACCAGAAATGGGCTTCACACTTTGTAACCCTGTAGGGAATTGAACCTGGGTCTTCAGCGCGACAAGCAAATGCTTCAACCACTAGGCTACCCTACCGCCCCAAACACTCATAGCCTGGTATGACAAGGACAGTAGCTTGTCTGTCAGTTCTTGCCAGTCAAAAATATCCCAGCTTTGTCAAAGGACTGTGTAAATAATCAAGTTTGGATCAGAGACTAAATATGCCGATTGTCCCACAATCAGGCTACAACAGGCAGTTAGCCAGTTCCTGCTCATTTAATATGATTGAGCTCACAGCAGTTATCGGCTTGGCAAGTTACTTCTAAACATTTTCGAAGGCAAGTTATTTAATCTTTGACAACTTCCTTACAGGAAGTTTTCCACAAGAACAACAGTTACAACCTTACTCATACAATGGCATTACAAAACACAGATAATCTGATGAAGAGCTTCTCAAACCATTGTCAACTTTATGTAATCAAAGTCAAATACTTATCAACATCATTGCTGTAGACTCTCAAAAGAATGTATGGAACATATATATCATGTAAGCACTCACCATTTTAAGATGGACAACGGTGCCTGATGTTTCCACCATTGGGTTCTTCTTGTAATGATCTACTAGTTCTGACAGTGTCTGGAACTGCTCCCCTCCACCGACATCATACTTCTCTTCCTGCAGTGAAATGTATAGGTGAGGTGAGGTGAGGTAAGGGTGAGGTGAGGTGAGGTGAGGTGAGGTGAGGTGAGGTGAGGTGAAGTGAGGTGAGGTGAGATGAGGTGAAGTGAGGCATGGTGAGGGTGAGGTGAGGCGAGGCATGAGGAGGTGAGGCCAGGGGGAGGTGAGGGGTGGTGGTGGGGGTTGGTGTGATGTGGATGGCGAGGTGAGGTGAGGTGAGGTGAGGCCAGGCCAGGGCCAGGGGTTTGAGGGTGGTGGTGGGTGGGTGTCGATGTGGATGGCGAGGTGAGGCTGGTGAGGCCAGGCCAGGGGTTTGAGGGTGGTGGTGGGTGGGTGTTGATGTGGATGGTGAAGTGAGGCGAGGTGAGGCCAGGCCAGGGGGTTTGAGGGTGGTGGTGGGTGGGTGTCGATGTGGATGGCGAGGTGAGGCGAGGTGAGGCCAGGCCAGGGGGTTTGAGGGTGGTGGTGGGTGGGTGTCGGTGTGGATGGCGAGGTAAGGCGAGGTGAGGTGAGGCCAGGCCAGGGGGTTTGAGGGTGGTGGTGGGTGGGTGTCAGTGTGGATGGCGAGGTGAGGCGAGGCACGTGAGTTGAGGGTATATGGGTGACTGTAATAAGGTGAGGTGGATCTTAGAGTTCAATGGATGTCTTTTACTAGACTGAATGAAATTTTACAGACTAGTGGATAAAGTCACAGACCATCTAAGTAGATCTAAACATATCCCTGACTATGCCATCTGCAGTAGCCACAAATATTCTTGTGACAAGAAGTGAAATGGTGTAAAGAAAACATGCTAATGAGGATATATAAGTATATCACTATTCCAAATGAAAAAAGATCAAGGACTTACGTGATATCGAATCTTGACGTGTGTTATTTTATCCTCACATCTGACAGAAAGAACAAAGTCACCCGGTTTGCTTTGACTCTCTCGCACCAAGTAACTGCCATTTTTACCCTTGTCCATTAAACACTTTTCGGCCTCTTTTCCAGATATATGACCATGAAACCATCTGCAACAAAGATAGGTGGATTTTAATTTGTGTTGGGAATCGGAAACCAAATCCACTATCTATTATCAGAGGACTTGTGGTGAAAGATTATCGATTATAACTGAAATATATATACATTTTTAATGTAATCACCAATTTTAAGGGTTTTTCCCCAGGTTTTTTCTAATTAGCAATATATTTTCATATCTAAATCTTAAAGTGCAGTAATTTTACTTTCTACATACAAATTATTCTGTTTATTTATACAACAAATATTTATCAGTATTATAACCAGGATATTTAGAATTAAAAACATTATATACATTTCATAAAGATTTAAGGAAAATTTGAAGTCAAGATAAGAAGGGTCAATGTACTGGGAAAGTGCGTTGACCCTTCTTCACTTGACTTTAAATTTTCCTTACATCTATCTCATTGCGTTCACGACAGATGTATAACTTTATTTATAGACAGGTTACAGTAATATTTACCGTAGTGATGAATACGAAACTATGAAAACATTGCACTTAGCTTTATGTCATTGAGTGCATCTTCATTCGTGAATATTTGTCAAATTTAATGGTTAGTTTACTTCAATCATGTGTCTTATAATAAAAGAACAAAATTCTGATTTACATGAAAATGTTTTTTACAATCGAATATTATGTTTAATCCTTCTTTCGATCAATTTTCGATCATTGGAACACCACTAATTTTAATAGATGACGGAATACATCAGCCCTAAGACAGACTGACCTCTCTGGGTTAGAGTTTTAATACATCATGGAATACATAAACTCTCAGACAGATGGATGGAATACATCAACTCTCAGACAGACAGATTGATTACATCAACTCTCAGACAGACGGATGGAATACATCAGCTCTCAGACAGACGGATGGAATACATCAACTCTCAGACAGACGGATGGAATACATCAACTCTCAGACAGACGGATGGATTACATCAACTCTCAGACAGATGGATGGATTACATCAACTCTCAGACAGACGGATGGAATACATCAACTCTCAGACAGACTTACCTCTCTGGAGTTGGGTCTTCTGATATCAGAGGGTACTTCAACTCGATGACTTCTCCATTCTTTTCCTTCAACTGGCTGTGCCTTTCCATGTAGTTCTGCACGAGTTCTGCCAGGGTGGCAAACTTCTCTCCCCCGTAGAGGTCATAGAAGTCCCCCGTGTTCTGGATCTTGATGTGGGTGACTTCACCATTGCGTCTGCACCAGAAACAGAGAAAGTCAGTGAGTGGAGGTGGTCCTATTGCAGGGAATGAGAAACTATGTGAAGACGTGTTTATTACATTGAGTGAAAGAGTGAGTCAACATGTGAAAATGAGAGCGGAGGGTCTTACTACATAAAGTGATTGAGTGAAGTTTTATATCACAACATTTTAGTGAATTGTACCCAAGTGGGGTCTTCGGTGTGACAAGCCAACTCTTTAACCACTAGGATACCCCATCGCCCCGATCTTCAATGAAATTTAATGAACGAGGCATCAGCCAACTTCTACTACATACACCACAGTGTGCTGTATCAGAACCATTAACCACAATCTGTTACCCTCCCAAGTCCGAAGTAAATCGCCCATTCTTGGCACGAGGCACACATCCTTGCTGACATGTGCAGCAGTGGTATTGTAACGTCTTCGAGTTGCATTTTAGAAGTTGGGAAGTACAATATTGAACAAACCTTATGGATAACAACTTCTTTCATTTCATGAATGTGACATTTCAATACAGATTCTTGAACCATTGCCAAGCTGGAATATAGCATGTAACTGCTTGACAAGATTACAAGAACCTGTAATGAAACGTCACACTCACGAAATAGAAGAATTTGTTATCCGTATAGTTTGCTCAATACAGTGGTATTGTAATCTACTGACCCCCTACACATTTAGTTTTTTACAATGTAGTAATGTCAAGGACCTCTTGACTTTCATGCTTAACATTGAAAACTGTCATTTCCAGCTCATTCTCAGGCTTGCAAGCTGGACCTACTCTACCCAAGAAACCCAAACGTTATTAAACATCTGAACCCGTAAAGATCCAGGTGTTCAGCAACCCATGCTTGTCGTAAGAGGCGACTAATGGGATCGGGTGGCAGGCTTGCTGACTTGGTTGACACATGTCATTGGTTGATCACTGGATTGTCTGGTCCAGACTCGATTATTTACAGACCGCTGCCATATGGCTGGGATATTGATGAGTACGGTGTAAAACTAAACTCACTCACTCACTCACTCACTCACTCTTATGAGTGCAGTGTTAAACAACAAACAAACCAACATCAAACATTTGGGAAAACTCCGTAATGATAATTGTTAAATCAGTGTATGACCAAACGAAGAACACAAACAGGAACACAGATAGCCGAGCCACTCACCTGACTGACAGAGTGAAGTCCCCTTCCTTGCTTTTGCTCGGTCTCGCCAGGAAGCTTCCATCTGTGCCACGATGCATCAGGAGCGTTTCTGCATCCATCCCTGATATGTTTGGGTGGAACCATCTGAAACAAGAAAACATGGTCATCAATATCTCCTGCCATAGTGTTCTGTTCCTATTTTGAGAACTCTTCATTCTTCCTACAAATGGCAATACATAAGCTGTTAAATGAGAAAATCTGTTCCCATTGGGATACCGTGCCCTTAGTCAAGAAACGCATGACAAGGGCCATAACTCAGTAACTAATTGTAACATGGTTTCTGTTTTCGAACTCCATCAAGGCTTCCATGTCCTGAAAACACATACCGATTTGGTTTCCCTATCAATAACGGTTTCTGAGAAAATCTGTACCCATCATCTCGGACGGACAGACAGAGTTCAAACCTGCTAAACAGTGTTATAAGTACAGGACCTGCTATACAGTGTTATACATACAAGACCTGGTAAACAGTGTTATACGTACAGGACCTGCTAAACAGTGTTTCATGTACAAGACCTGCTAAACAGTGTTATATGTACAGGACCTGCTATACAGTGTTATATGTACAGGACCTGCTAAACAGTGTCATATGTACAGGACCTACTAAACAGTGTTATATGTACAGGACCTGCTAAACAGTGTCATATGTACAGGACCTTCTAAACAGTGTCAGAAGTACAGGACCTGCTAAACAGTGTTATATGTACAGGACCTTCTAAACAGTGTCATATGTACAGGGCCTGCTAAACAGTGTTATAAGTACAGGACCTTCTAAACAGTGTTATATGTACAGGACCTACTAAACAGTGTTATATGTACAGGACCTGCTAAACAGTGTCAGAAGTACAGGGCCTGCTAAACAGTGTCATATGTACAGGGCCTGCTAAACAGTTATATGTACAGGACCTTCTAAACAGTTATATGTACAGGACCTGCTAAACAGTGTCATATATACAGGACCTACTAAACAGTGTTATATGTACAGGACCTGCTAAACAGTGTCATATGTACAGGACCTTCTAAACAGTGTCAGAAGTACAGGACCTGCTAAACAGTGTTATATGTACAGGACCTTCTAAACAGTGTCATATGTACAGGGCCTGCTAAACAGTGTTATAAGTACAGGACCTTCTAAACAGTGTTATATGTACAGGACCTACTAAACAGTGTTATATGTACAGGACCTGCTAAACAGTGTCAGAAGTACAGGGCCTGCTAAACAGTGTCATATGTACAGGGCCTGCTAAACAGTTATATGTACAGGACCTTCTAAACAGTTATATGTACAGGACCTGCTAAACAGTGTCATATATACAGGACCTACTAAACAGTGTTATATGTACAGGACCTGCTAAACAGTGTCATATGTACAGGACCTTCTAAACAGTGTCAGAAGTACAGGACCTGCTAAACAGTGTTATATGTACAGGACCTTCTAAACAGTGTCATATGTACAGGGCCTGCTAAACAGTGTTATAAGTACAGGACCTTCTAAACAGTGTTATATGTACAGGACCTACTAAACAGTGTTATATGTACAGGACCTGCTAAACAGTGTCAGAAGTACAGGGCCTGCTAAACAGTGTCATATGTACAGGGCCTGCTAAACAGTTATATGTACAGGACCTTCTAAACAGTTATATGTACAGGGCCTGTTAAACAGTGTTATATGTACAGGACCTTCTAAACAGTGTTATATGTACAGGACCTACTAAACAGTGTTATATGTACAGGACCTGCTAAACAGTGTCAGAAGTACAGGGCCTGCTAAACAGTGTCATATGTACAGTGCCTGCTAAACAGTTATATGTACAGGACCTTCTAAACAGTTATATGTACAGGGCCTGTTAAACAGTGTTATATGTACAGGACCTTCTAAACAGTGTTATATGTACAGGGCCTGCTAAACAGTGTTATATGTACAGGGCCTGCTAAACAGTGTTATAAGTACAGGACCTGCTAAACAGTGTTATATGTACAGGACCTTCTAAACAGTTATATGTACAGGGCCTGCTAAACAGTGTTATATGTACAGGACCTTCTAAACAGTGTTATATGTACAGGACCTTCTAAACAGTGTCAGAAGTACAGGACCTGCTAAACAGTGTTATATGTACAAGACCTTCTAAACAGTGTTATATGTACAGGACCTGCTAAACAGTGTTACATGTACAGGACCTGCTAAACAGTGTTATATGTACAGGACCTGCTAAACAGTGTTATATGTACAGGACCTGCTAAACAGTGTTATATGTACAGGACCTTCTAAACAGTGTTATATGTACAGGACCTTCTAAACAGTGTTACATGTACAGGACCAGCTAAACAGCGTTATATGTACAGGACCTGCTAAACAGTGTTATATGTACAGGACCTTCTAAACAGTGTTATATGTACAGGACCTGCTAAACAGTGTTATATGTACAGGACCTGCTAAACAGTGTTATATGTACAGGGCCTGCTAAACAGTGTCATATGTACAGGACCTACTAAACAGTGTTATAAGTACAGGGCCTGCTAAAAAGTGTTATATGTACAGGACCTGCTAAACAGTGTTATATGTACAGGGCCTGCTATACAGTGTCATATGTACAGGACCTACTAAACAGTGTTATAAGTACAGGGCCTGCTAAACAGTGTTATATGTACAGGGCCTGCTAAACAGTGTCATATGTACAGGACCTGCTAAACAGTGTTATATGTACAGGACCTTCTAAACAGTGTCATATGTACAGGGCCTGCTAAACAGTGTTATAAGTACAGGACCTTCTAAACAGTGTTATATGTACAGGACCTACTAAACAGTGTTATATGTACAGGACCTGCTAAACAGTGTCAGAAGTACAGGGCCTGCTAAACAGTGTCATATGTACAGGGCCTGCTAAACAGTTATATGTACAGGACCTTCTAAACAGTTATATGTACAGGACCTGCTAAACAGTGTCATATATACAGGACCTACTAAACAGTGTTATATGTACAGGACCTGCTAAACAGTGTCATATGTACAGGACCTTCTAAACAGTGTCAGAAGTACAGGACCTGCTAAACAGTGTTATATGTACAGGACCTTCTAAACAGTGTCATATGTACAGGGCCTGCTAAACAGTGTTATAAGTACAGGACCTTCTAAACAGTGTTATATGTACAGGACCTACTAAACAGTGTTATATGTACAGGACCTGCTAAACAGTGTCAGAAGTACAGGGCCTGCTAAACAGTGTCATATGTACAGGGCCTGCTAAACAGTTATATGTACAGGACCTTCTAAACAGTTATATGTACAGGACCTGCTAAACAGTGTCATATATACAGGACCTACTAAACAGTGTTATATGTACAGGACCTGCTAAACAGTGTCATATGTACAGGACCTTCTAAACAGTGTCAGAAGTACAGGACCTGCTAAACAGTGTTATATGTACAGGACCTTCTAAACAGTGTCATATGTACAGGGCCTGCTAAACAGTGTTATAAGTACAGGACCTTCTAAACAGTGTTATATGTACAGGACCTACTAAACAGTGTTATATGTACAGGACCTGCTAAACAGTGTCAGAAGTACAGGGCCTGCTAAACAGTGTCATATGTACAGGGCCTGCTAAACAGTTATATGTACAGGACCTTCTAAACAGTTATATGTACAGGGCCTGTTAAACAGTGTTATATGTACAGGACCTTCTAAACAGTGTTATATGTACAGGACCTACTAAACAGTGTTATATGTACAGGACCTGCTAAACAGTGTCAGAAGTACAGGGCCTGCTAAACAGTGTCATATGTACAGTGCCTGCTAAACAGTTATATGTACAGGACCTTCTAAACAGTTATATGTACAGGGCCTGTTAAACAGTGTTATATGTACAGGACCTTCTAAACAGTGTTATATGTACAGGGCCTGCTAAACAGTGTTATATGTACAGGGCCTGCTAAACAGTGTTATAAGTACAGGACCTGCTAAACAGTGTTATATGTACAGGACCTTCTAAACAGTTATATGTACAGGGCCTGCTAAACAGTGTTATATGTACAGGACCTTCTAAACAGTGTTATATGTACAGGACCTTCTAAACAGTGTCAGAAGTACAGGACCTGCTAAACAGTGTTATATGTACAAGACCTTCTAAACAGTGTTATATGTACAGGACCTGCTAAACAGTGTTACATGTACAGGACCTGCTAAACAGTGTTATATGTACAGGACCTGCTAAACAGTGTTATATGTACAGGACCTGCTAAACAGTGTTATATGTACAGGACCTTCTAAACAGTGTTATATGTACAGGACCTTCTAAACAGTGTTACATGTACAGGACCAGCTAAACAGCGTTATATGTACAGGACCTGCTAAACAGTGTTATATGTACAGGACCTTCTAAACAGTGTTATATGTACAGGACCTGCTAAACAGTGTTATATGTACAGGACCTGCTAAACAGTGTTATATGTACAGGACCTTCTAAACATTGTTATATGTACAGGACCTTCTAAACAGTTATATGTACAGGGCCTGCTAAACAGTGTTATATGTACAGGACCTTCTAAACAGTGTTATATGTACAGGACCTTCTAAACAGTGTCAGAAGTACAGGGCCTGCTAAACAGTGTTATATGTACAGGGCCTGCTAAACAGTGTTATATGTACAGGACCTGCTAAACAGTGTTATATGTACAGGGCCTGCTAAACAGTGTCATATGTACAGGACCTACTAAACAGTGTTATAAGTACAGGGCCTGCTAAAAAGTGTTATATGTACAGGACCTGCTAAACAGTGTTATATGTACAGGGCCTGCTATACAGTGTCATATGTACAGGACCTACTAAACAGTGTTATAAGTACAGGGCCTGCTAAACAGTGTTATATGTACAGGGCCTGCTAAACAGTGTCATATGTACAGGACCTGCTAAACAGTGTTATATGTACAGGACCTGCTAAACAGTGTTATATGTACAGGACCTGCTAAACAGTGTTATATGTACAGGACCAGCTTAACAGTGTTATATGTACAGGACCTGCTAAACAGTGTTATATGTACAGGACCTGCTAAACAGTGTCATATGTACAGGACCTGCTAAACAGTGT